ATCTACCAATTTTATTGTTTTTTGGTGAACCAAGAAATTGTTTGAATGCTTTTCAAAAAGATAAATATTATTAAATACAAATTTTTTTTAAAATAATAAATTTATGTAATGTGCAATTATTTAATTACCAAATCTCGGTGGATAATATCATTTTCATGTAGACATGAAACAGCTGATGCAATCTCATATGCAAATTTCAATTTTAAATCCCAATTGATTGATTTGGACTTTTTTTGTAGGTAGCTCCTTAATGTTCCACTATCTGCATACTCAAGGACCAATAAATATTTGTCATTTCCTTTGTATATAAATATAAATATTAGTTAATAGAAATGTTGTATGTGAGATTGAAATTTATAATTAAAATTTTGGGGTGGGGTGTTTGGATATGAAATTCTGATTGGCTAATTTGAATTCCCATGTGAATTGCAAATTCACATAGATTTCATTTTCACGTAACTGAAGCAAAATTAAAATAGTAAATAATTTAACATACCTTCATTCTTAGTGACACCATAAAAATGAATAATATTTTGATGGTAGTCAACTTTGCGTAACAATTTCAACTAATTGAGCAAATATTATTGTTAGTTGAAAAATTTTTTTAATCCACAATCAAATATATTGTAACTTACCTCATTAATAACTTCCTTCATATTTGTTATATCATATTTATAGGATTTCAAGGCAAAAGTACTGCTATTGCTATATATTGCTTTATAAACTTTTCCAGAACCACCTGAACCAATTTTTTGAATATTTTTAAAGCTACTATATTTATAAAAATTAATGTGTTCATTCTGAATTGCCACATTAAGCCATTCTACCCAATTATCCTTAGGTTTATCAATGATTACTTTGTTTTCATTAAGTATTCCATTGTTTGGCTCACCCTTTGTTTCTTTGCTATCTTGACTAATTAGAGGTGATGGTGATTTGGATAATTGTGGTGAAGGAATTTCTTGTAGTTCTTCAACTAGATGATGTTTTAATAAAGTTTACTTTGTGTTGTAAAAACTAATTTATAATATAATACTTACTTTCTAAGAAATAAAAAATAAAATTATTTAATTAGATGATGTTTTAATAAAGTTAATTGTATATATAAAAGTTAATTTATAATATAATACTTACTCACTGTTATTATAAAAAAATAAAAAATAAAATTATTTAATTAGATGATGTTTTAATAAAGTTTGTTTAGTGTTGTAAAACTTAATTTATAATATAATGCTTACTCCCTAAGAATAAAATAAATTTATTTAATAAGATGCACCATAATAAATTTTATTTTGTGAAATATTTATTTACCTTTATAGAATTCAGCTAATTATTTTATTATAAAGCAATATTAAATTACAATGTAAAAAACCCTTTTATATTTTTAAAAGTTATTTTTCTGTGTATGAAAAAATACCTTTATTCATTTTTTTATTAGAATATAAAGGAATTTATCACTGTTCCTTGGCATTAACAAAACAATTTAGAGATATTAATTTCAGTCCTGTTGTATAACTTGGGTTTCTGGCGCAAAATTCAATTTTTCACAAATTTTTTTTTTCAGTTTATATTCACAAGGTGTTCCAGATAGCGATGTTAGCCAATAGAAAAACCTTAACCAGCTAAGTACTTGATAAATCCCAATTGATGAAAAACCTTTTCAGATGGTATTAAGCTTGCTGGTATTATTACTACTACTACTATCATTATTATTATTGCTATTATTTACTATTGTTATTATAATATCTTGCCTTTAATGGTTCAAATTATTTATTTTATTGTTATGAATTTGAGTATTCGAATTACATTGAAAGTTTTATCAAATAAAATGAATAAAACAAACAAAATGCATAAAATGAACAAAACGAATAGAATGAGCAAAATGAATAGAACAAACAAAATGAATAGAACAAGCAAAATGAATAGAATGAACAAAGTGAATAGAATGAATAATTTGAATAGAACAAACAAAACAAATAGAATGAATAATCTGAATAATAATTTGAATAATAATAATTTGAATTAAAAAAGTATTATGACTTTTATCCTGGTATGATGTATTGTATTTTGCTTTTTGAGCAAATGTGTGTTTTTTTTGTCATTCTAAGTAATGTAGACAGACAAATGTCTATGTCATTGAATTCTGCACTAAAATTCTAGATGTAAAAATGAATGTCAAGAGAAATTTTTTTTAGCTGGCTTAGCTGATAAATTTCTTAGCCAATTGACATCATTAGTTTTCTTGTTTTGGTATCAACTTCTCTGCTTTGCTATGCAGATTGTTTTCATTTTGTTCTCTGTATATTTGAGTATTGAATTTTGTTTTGGTTTTTTGACTACCTGTTTCATCTTCCATGTTAACTAGTTTGACTACCCATTTCATGCTCCCCCCCCCATTAACTAGTTTGATTTCTACTTTTATTTCAGGTATATGATGAATTTTTTGGATCTGGGATGTGGCCTGAAACTTGGATTACAACATATAGTAAATGTAGTATACCTAATGATAATGAAATTGACACCTACATGTCCTTGTGGATATACATGATATAAAAAATTAATGATATCAAAATTGCTCTGAAATTTGCTTCTGGAACACCTTGAGAATATACACTGGAAAATATTAGTGTTAGCTAATATATGTCAGCGCCCTAATGAATTATTTATTTTTTAAATTCCAAATCATGTGCCTACTAATTTATCATTGGTCTGAGATTATGCATAAGAAACCTAGATCAAAGAATTAATTTTATATTTAAAAATGGCAACATTTGAATATATTAAACAAAAATTGGATAAGAGTATAAAGAAGTGGAGAGGAAGTTGGAGAGGTTGAATGAGAGGTTGAATGATTTGAAGAGAAAAAATGTGGAAGAAGAATATGAAGGGGAAGGAGAGGTTGGAGGCATCAAAAGAAAGATGGGAGAAGGAGGTGGTGGAATGGGGGAAAGCACCAAGAGAGTTTGGAAAAGGGGAAGGTAACAAACAATTTGCATAAAAAAATATACAAAAAATTACTTTACATTCATTACATTTTGTTTATTTGTTTATTTAAATAACTTGTGCTTTTTTCCCTTGATTTCAATCTTTTTTTTTTCACTTGGGATTGTCTGGTAATATCAAGCATCTTTATTACTGTTTGTGTTAATCAGTTTGTTTAGCATTAATAATTAATAATACAAATATCAAATTGATGACATATTTGCTACCAATATTCATGATAGGAATATCTTCAGATTCAGTAGCATTTTTGGATTTGATGATACTGAAGGTTTTACCACAGACCAGAAAGATTGAAAGAAAATGTTTATGTGAAGAGATTTTAAATAAATTATCATCACATAATTTACTTATTTCTGCTCCTCCTTTTCCTGGAAAGACTGCCTTGACACAACTGATGGAACATAGGGCAAAAAAATCTGGCTTTAAAGTTATTGCAATGGCCTTTACAGACTATATTTTTCATCAAAAACAATATTTACACGAAAAAGTTATATCAGAAGAAAAAATCTTCATTACATATGTGAAGGAAAAGACAAATTATGATTGGCAAGATATTATCAAGGATCCAAATATATTGTTTATAATGGATGATGCACATTTAATATTTCATGTTGAGGTAAAATTCTTAAGATTATTAGAATATCTGCAATTTTCAATGAATAAAATATTCATATTATACATTTACTTTTTAGCAAATTTAGAGTATGTTAAAATCTACTTCTGCTCAGTCAGGGTTCTATGATGTTTCAAAATGATGTGGTCTTTTAGCTACATCTATATTTGGTTTACAATCACATAGATTTGAGAATTCATCATTACCAAGCTGATTTACTTGTAAATACTATTTTGCAAACATTGTACTTTGTAGAACAAATAAAGAGGATGAATATCAAGAGTTGGTTGGAGAATTTAGAAAAACTCTGGAAGGAAAACATAAACAACATCTTTTATCAAATGAATTTGTTGAGGCAATTTGGCAAGCAATAAAAGGATTGCACTTCTTCAGTTGACAGAAATTTCAAAAGATTGGTCAGAAAACATAGATGAAAAAGCAATGAACTTTATATCTAATGGTCATCTGAGTGCTAAATTAGAACAACACATCAATATGATTAGTCCAGAAAATTTATGTTCCTTATTCTGCGAAATGGTCATGTTCTGCTTTCTGCTATCAATGACAATGACTTGGTGGCCTTGTTGAAATCTGGTGTGTTTGTTCAAGATGAAGCTTTTTTTTCTTTTAGTTGTCCAGTAATAGAGCAATTTTATCAACAGGAATATGTCAAGGAATTCATATACACATTTTCACCTCAAATAGAATCACTTACAATTGAAAATGATGGACTCATTGGATTTATCTACAAAGTTGTCAACCAAATAGATGGGAGTCTTTTATGTAAAACCTACTCAAAAAGTGCAACAGTAACCCTTTGTAAGGAAACCCTTTTTCCTTACGTCAAAATACTATATAATGGTTTTAATTATTAAAAAAATACAAGTTATACAAGTTATTCTTTATTAATTACGGAAAGCTTATCTTTTTATACAAAAATGCATAATATAATATTACAATTAAATAAATAAAAATAATATCTTAGAACTTCCCGGAAAGCCGCAGCACTTAATTTGTAACTCATATACATAAGAAAATAATATAAATAATAATAATATAAGTAATATAAATAATACATAATATAAATAATAAGTAATATGACGATAATATATATAAATAAAGTTGTAACGTTTCGTTTTAATTTAACGCGTTACGCGAAATAAATTTCGTATTACTGTGCCACATTACATATTCGCAATTAACGAAAAAGAACTGTTACACCCTTATTGAGCGTGTGTATCAAAATGAATTTTACCATGCTGTTTGGGCAATAATTCCCGGAAGATTGAGTCCTGATGTGGGTACATATTTTGGTGTCAGAGGTGAGTTGTTTCTTTATTGTATTATTTATCATCATACTTCAATCTTTTTCAATCTTTTTTAGGTGCTGTTAATTTTTATTTAAATGGACAATTCAAATGGGCTTTTGAGTTTCTCCATGATGGAATAAGAATAAAAGAACATTCTGAGCATTTTAAACCAAATGGTAAAATTGTTATGAATGATTGGGCAACAATTGACTTATGTATTAGTAATCCAATGTCATCAAAAATTGCAATCACAGATGACAGGCATTACTTTCGTGTTCTAATATCCAATGATTGTCAATTTGCTACAATAGAACACACTGGTAAAGATCATAAAGTACCACTGAAATGGGTGGAAGAGTGACAATTGAGAGGTGATCTCTCATTATAAGTATCTTTTATCCACAAATGTTATTAATATTAGAAAATTATGATCAGACAAAAGTCTTTTATTTTACAGAGTTATGTAGAGAGATAGGGAGATACTTTATGACTACAGTCAAAGCTCATTACAGTGAACCCTTGGTTCCTGAGATTTTGTTCACTGTAACAAATGTTCACTGTACTGAGAGATCTCTTTATAGTGAACATATTATAAAATTTGTGTAAAGTTACTATAATGAAAGTTTTTTAATTAATATTTTTATTTAGTAATAAAAAAACTATACATAAATAGTTTTTACATATTAATATAACTATCTAAAGTAGATTCTCGAATTAATCTTTTTACTTTTTCTTTTACAAAATTAAAAGTTTTTAATTCTTCCATTTTAATATTAAAATAATCAGGTGGGTTTTACAATATCTGATAATTTTTTCAATACTATCAAGAGCTTCCATTTTAGAAATAACTACTATTTCTTCTTCCTACTCCTCTTCTGGATTGTTGATTTCAGCTACTGTTTCTTGACTTATTACTTCTATAATTTGGTCATCAGTCAATTCTTCCACTGGTATTTCATCATCAATGCGGATGAAAGTTTCTGCACTCAATAAATTTTCTAGGTTCAATTTATTAATCTTTTCTTGTGATTCAGAAATACCATCATCAATTTCAGTAACATCATCAATATCACTCATAATAGTATCTTGGTCAGAATGTTGTTCATCAGGTAAAATACAAGTCTGTATTACTATTGAATTTTAGTGTAAAAATTAATCATGGACGTAAATTATATGTGGTCTAACTAAATTTAGAAAAAGGAAAATTAACCAATAGTATGAAAATCTGTGTTGAATTCACGTGATTTACACTGTAACGATCATCTTGAAATTATTAAATAAGTAATTATTATCAATAGTTTAAAATAAATATACACTTTACAAATAAATAAACAAACTTGTACTAATATGATGATTAGTAGTTTTGGTTCCTTAGAAGAGGTCCTAAATAGCCCATGATTTTTATATGCCTCTAATCAAAGTGTTGTCTAACAGCTTGCAAACTTAAACAATTTTACCAAAATTGATATAGATGCATCAGGAAAGCATGTTTTTTTGATGTATATGTAGCATTAATTCCAGAGAAGAGTTTTAGGAGATTTATAAAAAGAAAAAAGGTTTACAAAAAAAAGTTCAATCTTCTTCACAATTCCTAGGTTCACATATATGTTTATTAGCCTTTTTTTTTTTTTGCTTAACTCAAATTTATTAACTGTAACATATATAGGATATAATCAAAATTCAATATGGGTATTAATATGTATATATGCTATTACTATACATGGAATGGTAATTGCTTAATTCGTAATTATGTAATTAATTACCATTACCACTTTTTCCTTTAAAATCTATGAAACATGTCAATTACCAGTATACAGTCACCAAGGATTTTTTCTGTGTAAAACCCAGAGAAATCCACATAACCATTGTGGAAATCCATATAGTACCAATATTTTCCAAACACCCTGTGCCGAAATATGTGGAGTGGATCCACAGAGTTCTAAGTCATTACGTGTGGATTGAACAGTTTTTTTATTGAGAAATAATGTAAAATACTACAGAGAAATCATACTAAATACTACATTGATTTTAACATTTAATATAATGGGACTTTATTGTTGAGTGTAGGCAGTATACATAAAATATAAATTGAATTTACTAAAAGTTATCATTCTATTATTCATTAATTCAGTATTAACATACAGTATATATATAATTCACAGAAAATATCTCAAAACAACTTAGAAATAACTTGAAAATAATTCTACACAGAAGGTTCAAGTAGTACATTCAATTAGGATTTCAAACAAATCAGAAAACTAAATGATAGAACCTTTAACATGTATAAATAACTTTGTAACTTTCTTAACTTCATGTATTATCTTTATTGTCTCCATCTTTATCATAATAATAAATAACACTGCAAGATTAGAAAAGACAATTGGTTAAAATAAATACAGATTAGATGTATTAGGTTAAATCAAGTATTTCCTTATGTGCTAGCTATTAAGATACTAACAAAAAAGAAAGAAAAAATTGTATTATTTTCTTTTTAAATCTTATATTGAAATTCCGCTTAAATTCACTTGCTCCAACAGCAATAGCAGGTAAGTTGGTAAGTATTATTATTTTATTATCCGTTTTATTTGAACATGATAAGAGACTTATATAAATGCCTTAATCAATGTGCTCGTTGCATTTTAGCTTTCTGTGTTTTCAACCTCTCCCGTGTCATCAGGTTCTAAAAATGATTCAGGTCACAGATCAGGATGAATCACGTGTGATATAATCAGTTTCCTTGCTTTATCAAAAGTACTTGTAGTGTAATGAGACAGATTCTCGCTGGTGACTCATCATGTTGGATGCGTGGGAAACGCTTACTTATAATATGAAGCATTCTGATCAACTGCTAATTCTTTTAAACCTCCATAAGTTGTCCACAATCCATTTCCTCACCACACTCATTCCATAACTTATGAAATTGTTCACGTCAATTACTTACCTTTTAGTTTTGCTCTCATCCTTCCCTAAAAATTCGGTTTACCAAAGCCCATGAACAAACTTCAAATAGCAAAAGGTATACAATCCTTTTTTTAAACAGAAGGTTGGCGAGTTTTTGAGGACATCTAGGAATATTAATCAAATTTTTTTTCTTAAATAACGTTTTCACGTGACCAAGCAATATTTACCCAAATTTGGTTTATGATTCAATTTAATATTATTAAAACTTTTTTTAACGAAATCTATACATCAACTACTTGCTATATTAATATAACTTGGTAAGATTTCAGTTTTATCATAATATATTTTTTTTATTTATATATTTGCCGACTGTTATTAGAATTATTAGTTATTAACATTTATTGTTAGAATTAAAGATTTACTTGTGGTAAATAGCATTTTATGTTAGTGTTGATTAACAGATTATTATTGCACAATCATTAAAACTTGTTTAATTAAGTTTGAATTGATAATAATCAAATTCATAGAGATTGGCTAGTAGTTTAAATATTTTATTTCAAACAATAGAAAACAGATTATAATTTCCTTTAAAAGATTTTTTATTTTTTTTTGCAATTATATATAAGGCTTACAAAGATAATATAATAACAATATGGCTACAAAAATTTATTACTATTTTTGCTAATTTATTTTCTTTATTTCCTAAAAATATATATTTCTAGAAATGGGGTCCAACTCAAATTTAAAATCAAATAATCATGACTCAATAAATTTCATGTCAAACACATCATCAATGCCATCATCATCTTTCAATAATAATAATAATTACAACATGTCAAAATCTCATAATGACTCTTCTTCGCACTTTCAACAATCTCATTATCAAAATCACAATAATACTCAACATGACCATTATAACGAAGTTGAAGAATTTGTGACAATCGAAAAAAATATTGTCACGTCACAAAATGTTGAAGAACTTTTCGATAAGGTTTTAAAATTAGTATCTCAACCAAGAAAATTATCAATGTCTTCTTTATCACCATCATTATCATCCTCCATGGCCAACAGTCCCTTATTCTCATCCACATCCACATCTTTATCATCCACATCTGCATTATCTTCTATGAAAGGAAAAAAATCATTACCATCGTCACCTTCTTTATCATTAACACCAGCAGAAATTGGCAATCCTTTGGCTATGGAAAGACAATCATTGGATCGTCCATTAGTCAAAACTACTGCTAAAAAAATCAATTCATTACAATATAACAACAACAACAACAATGAAATTATTATTAACAGGAAAAAAGAATTTCAATATTGTGGTCTTTTTGCTCAATCAAATATATTATTAGGAAATTTCATTGCAGAGTATAAAGGTAAAATTTGTTTAAAATCTGACTACACGGATGATCCTGCGAATGAGTACAAAGATATTGGCACCACAAAGCCATATGTTTTATTTTATCCAACATTAAATTTATGTATGGATGCTCGTCACTATGGAACTCATTCAAGGTTTGTTAGACGTTCATGTAATCCTAATGCTGAAACACGAACAATGTATATTAATGATGGTATTGTCAAAGATCGTCAATTACATTTGGGTATATTTGCTAAATGTCATATAATGCAGGATCAAGAAATAACAGTTGGGTGGGATTGGGATAATAATCATGTCGCTCATACCTTTATAAGAAAAGATTATAACAATAATGGTGGTGGTGGTGGTAATGATGATGATGATGATTTAGATCAAGTCATTGATTTAAGTAAAAGAATTCAAATGAGCGCTGTCTATAATTTGTTAAAGTATACAGAGTGTGCGTGTGAGAACAAAAATAAATGTGTGATTGAGAAAATGAAAAAGTATGCAAAGAAACAAAATGACGATTTGACAAGAAACAAAGGTATTATAAATTGAATTGAAATAATTAATTAATCGACAATTCGGATGAAGTAAAATAATAATTTATTTATTATATTTATATTTTCAATATTTTTCATAGGTTACGTTTATCCACAACAAAGTAATCTTTCGTATTATAAGAATGGTTAGTTGCTATTATTCTTTATATAAGTGTGTTAATGCATGTTAGCAGTAATCTACATAATAATATTTTAATAATAATAATAATTTAATTATTTAAAAGCAGGAAATAATTATGATGACATAGGTGAAGACGAAGACGAGGAAATGGAAGAAATTTACACTTCAACTCCCAATCCAATAGGAAAAAACAATGATCACAACAATTATAACACATCGACATCATCAATAAAAAATCCACAATTTTATGAAATTGATGGAAATTTTCAAGAATTTTTTGATTTATGTATGAATTATGCAACCAATAATAATAATATTAATAATAATAATAATAATAATAATAATGATAATAATAATAATGATAATAATGATAATAATAATGATAACTCAATGATTGTCGATTACGCTGATACTAGACAAAACAAATCTAATTATAATATTAGCGTTGATATTAGTACACTTCAAAATAAACCTTCAACCAGTATTAATAACAACATGGGTTATAAAGAATCGTCTGATGTTATTAAACAGATGGAATTAGATGATAATGGCAATGATGGCGATGATGAATATACGAGATTAGGAAATGATAGAAATAAATTTAATAATAAGTTAGAGATGAGAGGAAATGTCACGTATTATGACAAGAAATCAAAAGAACTTGATAATAATAACAACAACAACAATAACAGTAACGATAACAATCCGAAGATTGTTCATATTACAGATTCAGAAAATAGAAATGAAATGATGCAACCGAAACAAAACAATAATCATTTATCTACTACTATTGCAACATCTACTGCTGCAGTCAGTAGAAAAGAAAATATATCAAAGAATATTTCATTTAATCAATTTCCTTATTATTCTACAAATAACCAATCTGAATCAATAAACAACCTTGATAATATTGATGATAATAACGATGATAATGATGAGAACTATGTAATTAATGAAGAAAATTCAAGTAAATCGGATTTTATATCGTCACCAAAAAAACGTAAACTAAGTTCAGCATCAAGTGATATTTCAAAAGTCAGAGATTCAAATTTAAATTTTGCCTCATCTTCTACATCTTCTAATATTTCTACTATTAAAAATAAATATCTCAAAGAAGATACAGAAATTATAAGAGATCATAATCAACATCAACCAAATATAAGTAAAACAACAACCTCGTCAATAACATCAAATAATATCCCAACAATAACTTCAACTTCTACAAACGATAATAATGTTGATGGTAATGATAATTTCCAAAATACACAAACTGATTCTTTTAAATATTCACAAATAAATTTACCAAGATCAACAACATTATCATCGTCATCAAACATTAATCCAATTACAAATATATCAACCACATTACCATCACCATTACCGTCATCTAAGATACCGACATTAACTTCGCCAACTACAACAACTTCTCACTATGACATAAATAAAACTTCCAATCCGACAACGAAAGCTTCATCACCAACAATATCGACACCATTACCATATCAATTGGAAACATCAAAAACAACTAGTAACACCTCACAATTCAATATTTACCCCAATAATAATAAATCTTCGACAACAACAACAAATACAGACTTTCCTAAAAACACACAACAATCAGATTCTACAAAGCCACCACCATCAGTAACTACTTCTTCTTCGCCTACCACCACTAAGCCTCAGGCAAATGATTCATTGTCCAAGAGAAAAATTTCATTTTCAGAATATAAACAAATGAAAGGTTTGAACGGTTCTCCATTGACTTCGAAAACTGATGAGCCAAAAAAACATTTATCAGAACCTCAATCAAACAATCTGTCATCACCATTACCACCATATACATTACCATCGACAACATCACCAACCTCACTATCAGTTACCAATGCTAATATTGTCACTACCACATCAAAACAACCATTATTGGTACCACATTCTTCTTCTTACTCCTCTGCTACTGAGCAACAAAATAAAAATGAGTCAATTAGTATTAAAAAAATGGAGTCAAAAATTGAAGAACCACATTCTTCGTATTCTACGACTTCCTATAATATGGCATCAGCAAAATCTTTAATACAACAACAATCACCTTTAACACAACAACAACAACAACCACCTTTAACACAACAGCAGCAGCAACAATTTTTAACACAACAGCAGCAGCAGCAGCAGCAACAACAGCAGCAACAACAACAACAACAATCATCATCATCACCACCACCACCACCAACAAAATCAACAAAAGAAAACTCTGCTACAAATTATACAAATAACAACAACAACAACAACAACAACAACAACAACAACAACAACAACAACAACAACAACAACAACAATGATTGCTTTAGTACACCAGATAGTCAAAAAACCACACTGATAAATGATGGTTATTTCCCAGTAGATTTCAATTTCAATTTTCCAAATATTTATAAATCAAGGAATTACTCATATGATTATCATACATCAAAAGATGTTGATTCAATAAATCCAAATGAATATGGTAGGTCATCATCATCATCATCCTCTTCCTCATCAAGACCGCCACCACAACTGCCACCAGTATCTCCTCCTTCACGTGGATTACCACCATCGCGTAACTTTCAAAGTGGAGGTGGAAGTAACAGTAGTGGTGGCAATCATTATAGAGGGCCAAGATCATCATCAGGTGGACCTTTTAGAGTTATGCCAATATCACCAAGTGAAAGATGCAGTGGTGGTGGTGGTGGTGGTGGTAGATATCATGGGAACTCAGGAGGTTATTTCAATTCACCAAGTTCATCACCAACCACATCAAGGCATCCAAATCAAACAAATACACCACCACCGCCACCTTCTTCTTCCTCCTCAATACTGATGTCACCATCGTCATCCTCACCTTATGATCCAGAAAATCCAGATGGATTATCATCACCAATTAATAATAATGATGATGATAGAGATCAAATACGTTCAAATGATAGCTGTGGTAGTGGTAGTGGTATACCTAGTAGTAGTATTGGTGATGGACAATCAAGGGATTATATCAGACCTCCCCCTCCTCCCCCTCCTCCTCCCATTGATAGAGGAGGATGGGGAATGCATGATCGTAGAGAATGGAGAGATCGTGATAGAGAACGCGAAGAAAGAAAAGAATGGGGCAAAAGAAATGAAGATTATCGATTTCAAAGGTTTCCCGGTGATGTAAGTATATTGTTTATTTATTTAAATTATGTTTTTTTGGTTAATAGGAAGTTAAATATATATTTTTCCAAATTTATAGGATTATCGTAGAAACAGAAGATAATTAATTATTTTAAGTTAATAATTAAATAAATCTATATTACATCCAAGAAGAATTTCTAGCTGATCTGACATCTGTTATTATTATGTAGTGAATTAGATTTTGGTTATTTTGATGTAAATAAATTTAGTATAGTTCATTCATATTTTAATATATATAAATAAATAAATGAATAAATAAATAAAACATGTGGATTTTCACCAATTTGTAAATACATAAACATTCTAAAAAATTCATATTCGATAAAAAAAGCTTAGATGTATAGAAGCGATGATAATGATAAAAAAAAATCTTCTGGTATCGATATTAACAATATTATCACTAGAATATTCATTATTATTATTATTTTGTTAATTTGATTCTATAAATTATTTAACAAACAGTATTTATTTCGGTTCATGAAAGCATGGTGGGCATTTGTATGTCAGAAAGTGACAAAATCGATTTAAAATAGGAAAAAACCGCACAAATAACAGTAAAACAATGATATTTTATTTGAATATATACCTTAACAGGATGTTGCTATATCAAGTCGATCAAGTAATTTGGAACAGAAAATTCGTATATAAATTTACTAAAGTGCATGGAATTTTATATATATTATTTTCAAAGATGGACATCAAAATAATTTCATATATTTCTTTATGCATTTATTAGGACACAGGTAAAGCTCTGAGCGATTTCGGTTTACATTTGACCAAAAAATTTCAGACATTCTAAATTCGTTAAGTGCGCAAATAACTTGTAGCTTGGTTTTGGCGGATGTGTATTGCGAGGTAGAGATGCTGGAAGGATTCTGTTCCTAAATACATACATAGTCTATAATTTTATATCATGGTAGCGATTATTCGAATTATTCGTTTCGTTTTATTCGACTGATTTTCAATACTCAAATTCATAACGAATAAAACAAATAATTCGAATAGAAACTCTAACGATGTTCTATGTTTTTCAATTCAAAATTCACCGTCTCCGCCAACACATGCAAATTCTTATTGTTTCAGGTTCTAAACTACAACGCCTTTGAGTAATTAAGTCTGTGGCTTCAGAAAAAACTCGTCCTTTTCCCAAAAATAAAATTTGGCGCGATTTATTTGGGCCGAATCAAAATCCTTTTTTGCGTGATAAAATGATAAAATGGAAATCATTACCGATGGCAAGATTATAATTACTAATCTTGCCACAACGGATTGTTAAATATGTATCCCGTTCATCTGCTGTGACAAGGTTTGACTGTATATACAAATGTCTTCCATGCTGTTCATGAAATGAATCAAGGACTAAAGATATCTTATTTCATGGTGTAAAAATCAAAACGTGATAATGACAAGGAATTTCAGCCATAACAAAATTAATTTAAAACACATCAATAGTATCATCAGGACTTGAAGGTGAACATGACGGTGATTTTATATTGTACAATAGTAATTTTACATATTACTAGATATTATTTAGATTTGTCGATCATAATAATAAAAATAATTATTATCTCAGCAGAAACTAGTTTGAAGAATGTACTGACACCGTATTATTGGCTTATTACATATTAATATTAAGTATACGTATACAATTTTTTTGTGTAATAATGAACCACTGATGTCATTTTTTTTTTAATTTATATTTAAATCATCTTCCCTTCTTAAAACATATTCTCTTTCAAATTAAGTATTATGAACAAGTGGATCACAAAGAAATTTATTAATAAAAAAACAAAAGTGGAAAAACTTGCTAATAAAATGGGAAAGGGTAAGCAGATATCGACAAAGCCACAATTGATATTTTCTGTACGTGTAAAAGAATTAACTGATTACTCGTATGTCTTTAGTACCTTCGGATCTCCCGGCTTACCTACAAAACGAAAATACCGCTAAATTGATTCTTCAAGCAACGAAGCAAATGGGTATTGATGACCCCGCCCTGCTTATTCGATTTGATAATAATGGGTTCAATGATACTGCTGTGTTGAATTGTCGTAACGGTGTTCCCGGACAAACACAAGGTGCTCTTATCGCCTACATTGTAGGAAGTGGTGGTGTAAATTTTAGAGGTCTGAATAAATTGTTCTTGTTTAGGAGTTGTTTAGCAATTAGCCGGTGTCAGTATGGATTTCCTCCATGGTATGGGAAATTCATTCATGCTTTTTTTTTTTGGATCTGTTAACCATGTTTTCATGATTTTCTTTCCTTCTTTTTGTAAAGGGCTCATCATCAACCGGGGGTTGCAGATGTTTGTATTTCGATCTGTAGAATAAGCAAGTTATCAGCTAATGGTGGAATCGACTATGAACTATTTGACTATCCTTTAAAGTTTAAGTAGGCAGTAAGTTACCGAACTTTATTGTTAATCCTATTGTTATTGTATAAAAAATGAAACAAATTTATTTAATTTTTTTTCTTTCTTTGCATATAGCCAACTGTTACAAGAGCCACAAGTTATTTTTGTTGGATATAAAATTATGCTTATTTGCTGAAATAATTATTATTTGTATAATGATTGTCATAACAGTATTAGAGATTTTCTAATGCTTTAGCTTTAAATCATTAAATCGACATTTTATATTATAAAAAAGAAGTCGAGCTTATTATTTTTAAGTGTATATTAATATCAAATTTCTTCTTTGGCCGAGTGTAATCTGTACATGATGATGATGTAAAGAAACCGTAGTCGATAAGTTCACTCACACAATATTGCATTTTGCTTTTTAAAATGCAATTTTTTATTTGCTAGTAAGCAAAATAGCTTGCTTTAAAAACCTAACTTTTTTTTGAGAAACTGTTTATTAAGATCGTTTTAGTTAGAGGTTCTGATCAAAATTAAATGTGACTTTGAATATTCATAATTATTGTCGCTTAATATACAAAATATTTATGACCATTCGAAATATTTATGACGATTGGGAATGTTTATTAATATGAATTTTCTTTTTACCACTATAAATTTTATTTGTTAAGTTGAAATCATTCTTAATGAATGACAACTTCTTTCTATTTACATGTTCCAACTCGGATATCCTATTACTATCCGTTTAAATTATATCATCATTTTGCATATTTAACTAATCATTTATTGGACAAAGAATTAAGTAAGATTCATAATAATAATACATTTTATAATGGATCTCTTTTAGTATTAATGAAATTTTATTTATCAGGCCAAATATTACCATCAATTCAAATAGTAATAGTAATTTAAAAAACGGTGACAATAGAATTGTTCAATATTAAAGAACATTTATCCAAATTTCCAAATGAATGCGAACAACAACGATAAAATTGTATAAACAAAGATGGTGTCAAATTCTTACAAACAATTAAAACGTCTCAACATTAAAAAATGCGTATCGATCATTAGAATTTTGATGATTAATACCGTGGATTCGTTGAAACAAGGTTTGACTGTATTAGTATTAGTATATTAATAATATATTAATATTACAATCCGAATCCGATCTCTATCTAATTCCTTCCTCTCCTAAACATTATAAGAAAGATTAGAGTAGTTTTACATGTTACTAGTAACTTTAAAATTGTAGTTTATCGCAAACCTTTCATTCCAAATGAATTTTTTAATGCCTCTGTTCCTATAATAGAGATTTCATTAAGGTGTTCGCTATACAAAGATAAATAATTAGCATTGTCATGGTATGGATTTACTTGGTGTATGCATACTTTATTGCGTGCGCATATTTCCTTCTTAATTTGCAATGTTGAAAACTAGTTACTTTAATAAACAAACAAACAAATATAAATTATTAATAATAAAATTGTTCATTGACAATTTATCCAATCTACACAATCTGGTTTAGCAGATAATTTGGGTAATTGGAAAAGTTTTTCCAAAAATCTGTTATTATTATCCAAGAAAGACAATTAGCTGAAAAATTAGAATTATATTGATACAGTCAAACTTTGTCACGGCAGACTAGACTATAATAATTAAATTCTTGTCATAACGGATTTTAAATAAAATTTTCTTATGTGTCCCGTTCATCCGCTATGACAAGGTTTTGTATTTTTTGTAAATTTAATAAAAAATTTTATATATTAAATAATGTCAATAGAACGAAAAAACTTCAAACTTATCCACATATATACATCAATGGCTTATTATTATATATATATTCCGACAAAATTAAAAAAAAAAATTTATTATATATATTAATTTTATTAATAGTTTGCAAACCATATAGAAGTTGTTTTTTATCTGAAAGTGCTTTTTGGGTTGGCTGAAAAATTTCCAATAAAATAACATAATATACATGTGTAAATAAAATTTCTGATCTTCAATTACAGTTCTTTATATAATGAACAAATTACGCGTAGAGATGAATGGTCGAGTGAATTGATGGCTTTTGGTGTGTGGTATTTTTATAGTGAAAAGTTGAAAATTTATTATTCTTTATTTTGATATATTGGTAGCCCATAATTTGTATACACATTAACTTCTCTATTATTATCTACTAGTAATTGTTTTAGACAATGAATGGATTAATAAAGACTTGGTTATGTCCATGAGCTGGTTACCTTTTTTCGAGGAGAAAATTTTGGGAGTAACTTCAAAAATTATTATTCTTTATTTTATATGTTGAGCTAACATTACTTTTACATATTAGCAATTTTCAAATATATATGCTTTAAACCTCTATGTGCTTGTAAAATTTAGATGGCAGCATTTGATCAAAAATTTGTTGGGACTATCTATCTAATTATATTTATATTATATATATATAAAGAAATCTTTTTATAATTGTGGCATAGCAAACTCGTATCACAACAAAAAAAAATATTAAAATCATTCAACTTTGCCAAAGACAAGAAAATTTTCTATTTGTAATAATAATGCATATGTAGGAATTTTAAAACAATAAATAACAAGTAACACCAGTGATGAAGTCACTGTCATAAAGCATTCATCTAGTTGTTTTATTATTAATTAATTATTTTTTTTTAAATTTTTTTTTCGTGAATTTAGGTTTGTTGTTGCGAGTTGTAAATTTATTAATAACAAAATTAAATAAAGTTTTTAGAACTTTTAAACTGATCCAAGATAATAAACCCAATAATGATAACAATATTGTAAAGAATGCACCATAAACATCATAATATTTTCCTTTAAAAAATCCCATTCTGGTGTCAGGTGTGATCCATTCTCTCATCAATCCATCAATATCATTATCATCTTCATCTCTATCATCTAAAGCATTTGCATGTATCATATATTCAATTAAATCCGCTGCTCTATACTTTCTTTTGCTGTTGATTCTAGCCAAAGTTTTTGCTCTTTTACAACTTTTTTCAATCTTTTTGTCATTTAACAATATATCTAATTTTTCAATAATTTCAGGCACATTTAATGATAGTTTATTTAATGTTAAACCAACATTAAGAGCTTCCAATCTTTCAGCATTTCCATATTGATCATATGCTAAGGGAAATGACAATACTGGTACTCCATAATATAATAATTCATGACAACTGTTTCGACCTACATGACTTAAAATTACTTTAATATTTTCATGTGCTAAAAGTGCCATCTGTGGCACATGATTTGCAATGTGAAAGTGTTTAGCCATTGTTGGATTTAACAAATCAAATGATGGTAATTTTTCTTTGGGTGTTCTGCCTAATGACCATATTATACCATCAATCTTTTTTTTATCAATTGCTTCAATGAGCGCTTTTAATAAAATATCATTATTTTCTTTTGTTGTATAAAAAAATGTTCCAAATGTTACAAATATTGTTCGAGAATGCTCTGATAAAAAGTTCTCAAGTTCTGGTGATAATGATTGTATATAATCTGGTAAAATCGGACCAACATCCAAATAAAGTGGAGATGAAGATTGTGGTACCTGTTATTATATTAAGATAATATTTTAATTGCATTATTATTATTATTATTATTATTATTATTATTATTATTATTATTATTGTGAATATTTTTAATATTAATTTATATTTTTAACCTCGAATCCATAAAAAGTATCAACCAAAAATAGAGATTTTTTATTTCTTTCCATTGGGTTAAATGTTGGTTCAACGCCCACTTGTGCTCTATATTGGTTTAATTCATTTGAATATGAATTTAATGCATAAAATAAACTCAATGGTTTAAGTATTTCACACTTAAATCTATTCCAAAATGATTCATTTTCCATATAAGTTTTACATTCGATCATTGGATCAGAAATATATGGTGAAGTAACAATTCCTAAAAATCAAGATTATTTTAAAAAAAAATAACATAAAAATCAATGAAAAATTGAAAATCCAATGTTTATTTTTTTACCCAGAAAACTGCTAGCAATTGAAACCGTTGGTATATTTGACTTATAAGCAGCATCAAAACATGCAAAATTAAAAGTTCCGTCACAAAGAATCAGCCCAGGGTTAAATTCTTCAATTGCCTGCTGATAGATTTTATATAATCTAGGATAATACTTATTTGCTGATTGTTGAAGTTGATATATTTCTTTCAATGTTACAAATTCCTCTATAAGCCTATCATATCCAGGATAATCTGATGGTGAAAATGCTGGCCCAGTGGAAATTTGTGAAATATTTGGATAATTAGGACTTGGTAAATAATTTCCAGGTGATAATAGTGTAATCTTTTTTAAAAAAAAAAAAAATAAATAATTTTTATTTAAAATTAAAAAATCATCTGCAATAAAAAAACAATGCTTACATTAAATCCACGTGTAGACAAAATTTGAGAAACATCCAACATCCTTCGAAGATGACTCCATCCTAAAATCAACAATTTAATAATAATTATTATTGTTATTTATTATTAATTTGATAAATTCACAATCGATTCAATAAGTTTATTATTATCAACCTCCAACTCCAGTTATGGCAATGATATTTTTAGGCAAATTACTACGATCAATTTCTGATAAACGTGGAATAGAATTTGGTGGTGGTGGAAATGAATGGTATGTGCTTTCACCTTCATCATGATAATTTGCATCAACTCCAACTATTATTATTAATAATAGTAATAGCGATAATGTAATGCTTATAAATACGAGTTTAGAAAAATATGATTTTTTAAAATCCATTTTTTATTTGGTTAACAATATATAAAACACTCTATATATATATATATATAAATTTTAAACAAGTCCATAGCAAAAATTTTTTAAAGTTAAATTAAATTTTCCTTAGGAAGTAAAGATATGTTAGTGAGTGATTGATTACATAATAATAAATAATAATAATAATGATTGATTTTAATTGTCGTGAATATTCATTTGTAGATCATTCATTGTTAAATAAATTTCTCATGTGTCTCATCATCCACTCGTACTCAAGTCAATATCCGAATTAGTCATTGATAGGGTGTCCTCCATGATGCTTTTTTTGGGCAAATTCATAATAATTCCGACCAAAATTAATATTAAAATACATGAAATTTAATTTTTCTTTTAAAGCTGTGCGTTTATCAGTTAATAAATCGAAAAATATATTTCGACATCAACACTGGACACAGGAAGTTACATCAACAGTTATACTAATCATCTTATTTTTTATTAAATTTTTTAATTTCAGTACTTCAAATTCATAACTCATTGGCAAATATTTTTCTCGAAGTTGATTTGAACCTACAATATAACCTCCCAGGAAATAATAAAAATAAAAATAAATGATAATTTTCATTAAAATATCAAATTAATTTATTTTAATTTTTTTTGATATGAAATTTTTCTTACCATTCTTACAATATGAATTAAAAAATGACTTTTAATTTATCTATTTTATCCAGAGGAATATCAGCTTTAGTAAATGCTTCAATGATTGCAATATTGATTTTGTCATGATCATTATTCGTGAAAGAAAGCAAAGAGCTTTGTAAAGGTTGTGGATTATTTTTATGTTTTTGTTCAGCAGCTTTATGTTTTGTTGATTCTATATGATTATCAACAATTGATTTTTTTTCATGATTTATAGTATGGTTAAAAAAATGACAATATAATTTCTCAGTTTCAACGTAAAAAAATGATTATTTTTTTCCTCAAACGTTCTAATGCATTTTTCATTCTATCCCATAAAATGTAGCACAATGTAATTTATTTTTATTAGTATATTCTAATAACATATAGGTATTTTTTAGAAAATTTCACAAAAAAATAAAAAGAAAACTTTGCTCCTTATGGAAATCATCATAAAAAAAATGACCCCATTAAAACTTATACCATTTTTATTCCTCAGAATTTGAAGTTTAAGTTTAGTTAAAGCCAATGTAAAGATATAATTAGTAAAATCTTCACTTTATAATATACCTGAAATATGTATTAAATTTTTCAGAATGTAAAAATTTTTATTCATGATAAATTTTAAAACAGTTCCTACTATTATTACAACATAATGGAGCATCACATAATGTACACCAAATATTAGAGAAAGAAGGTTTTTAATTAATAACACAAAATGATTGGGAAAGTATTTTTTTTTGTTCCTTTACTTTGCACAATCATTTATCATCTGTTGTACATGAAAATGAAATTATGTGAATTCGCAATTCACATATGTGAAATTCAAATATACATATGTGAAATTCAAATTAACCAATCAGAATTTCACCCCACTCCATAATATACATAATTTCAATTTCACATACAACATCACTAAGAACAGTATGTAATACTTTGTTTTTCTTTTACTGGGTTAATGATACAATCTCAAAAATCAACTTTGTGTTTTGCAGCATATATGCTGCAGAAACAGTTTAATATTAAGGGATAATCGTAATCGTAATTGAATATAATCATCGTCGATCACTTACATAAAAGTAAATTATACACGTATCCTGGACACACACTATATTAGTCATTGAGTGAATAATTATAATCAGGAAAAAGATATTCAGTTATTCATTGTTAACAAAATTTTAACTTCATTGATCATTTTACATTCTATCAAAATCATCAATCAAAAAAACCATAGTGCATTAAGTTTTATTTATTGAGACTAGAGATGTGACATGCGCATGGCAAAAAAAAAATGCTGCGCGCATTACAACACGCGCATGATTTTTTCAAAAAAAAAGCGTGAATTTATTATTGATTATATTATTGATATATAGTATTTTTAAGAAATAACAAAATCAAACATATGCTAAACTGGTAGAATTGATAATTTCATCAGCTTTGCTTCTAAAAGGAATTGGTTTACTTTTTCTTTTTATAGTTTGAAGAATGTACTGACACCGTATTATTGGCTTATTACATATTTGTATTAAGTATACGTATACAATTTTTTTGTGTAATAATGAACCACTGATGTCATTTTTTTTTTAATTTATATTTAAATCATCTTCCCTTCTTAAAACATATTCTCTTTCAAATTAAGTATTATGAACAAGTGGATCACAAAGAAATTTATTAATAAAAAAACAAAAGTGGAAAAACTTGCTAATAAAATGGGAAAGGGTAAGCAGATATCGACAAAGCCACAATTGATATTTTCTGTACGTGTAAAAGAATTAACTGATTACTCGTATGTCTTTAGTACCTTCGGATCTCCCGGCTTACCTACAAAACGAAAATACCGCTAAATTGATTCTTCAAGCAACGAAGCAAATGGGTATTGATGACCCCGCCCTGCTTATTCGATTTGATAATAATGGGTTCAATGATACTGCTGTGTTGAATTGTCGTAACGGTGTTCCCGGACAAACACAAGGTGCTCTTATCGCCTACATTGTAGGAAGTGGTGGTGTAAATTTTAGAGGTCTGAATAAATTGTTCTTGTTTAGGAGTTGTTTAGCAATTAGCCGGTGTCAGTATGGATTTCCTCCATGGTATGGGAAATTCATTCATGCTTTTTTTTTTTGGATCTGTTAACCATGTTTTCATGATTTTCTTTCCTTCTTTTTGTAAAGGGCTCATCATCAACCGGGGGTTGCAGATGTTTGTATTTCGATCTGTAGAATAAGCAAGTTATCAGCTAATGGTGGAATCGACTATGAACTATTTGACTATCCTTTAAAGTTTAAGTAGGCAGTAAGTTACCGAACTTTATTGTTAATCCTATTGTTATTGTATAAAAAATGAAACAAATTTATTTAATTTTTTTTCTTTCTTTGCATATAGCCAACTGTTACAAGAGCCACAAGTTATTTTTGTTGGATATAAAATTATGCTTATTTGCTGAAATAATTATTATTTGTATAATGATTGTCATAACAGTATTAGAGATTTTCTAATGCTTTAGCTTTAAATCATTAAATCGACATTTTATATTATAAAAAAGAAGTCGAGCTTATTATTTTTAAGTGTATATTAATATCAAATTTCTTCTTTGGCCGAGTGTAATCTGTACATGATGATGATGTAAAGAAAGTTTGAAGAATGTACTGACACCGTATTATTGGCTTATTACATATTAATATTAAGTATACGTATACAATTTTTTTGTGTAATAATGAACCACTGATGTCATTTTTTTTTTAATTTATATTTAAATCATCTTCCCTTCTTAAAACATATTCTCTTTCAAATTAAGTATTATGAACAAGTGGATCACAAAGAAATTTATTAATAAAAAAACAAAAGTGGAAAAACTTGCTAATAAAATGGGAAAGGGTAAGCAGATATCGACAAAGCCACAATTGATATTTTCTGTACGTGTAAAAGAATTAACTGATTACTCGTATGTCTTTAGTACCTTCGGATCTCCCGGCTTACCTACAAAACGAAAATACCGCTAAATTGATTCTTCAAGCAACGAAGCAAATGGGTATTGATGACCCCGCCCTGCTTATTCGATTTGATAATAATGGGTTCAATGATACTGCTGTGTTGAATTGTCGTAACGGTGTTCCCGGACAAACACAAGGTGCTCTTATCGCCTACATTGTAGGAAGTGGTGGTGTAAATTTTAGAGGTCTGAATAAATTGTTCTTGTTTAGGAGTTGTTTAGCAATTAGCCGGTGTCAGTATGGATTTCCTCCATGGTATGGGAAATTCATTCATGCTTTTTTTTTTTGGATCTGTTAACCATGTTTTCATGATTTTCTTTCCTTCTTTTTGTAAAGGGCTCATCATCAACCGGGGGTTGCAGATGTTTGTATTTCGATCTGTAGAATAAGCAAGTTATCAGCTAATGGTGGAATCGACTATGAACTATTTGACTATCCTTTAAAGTTTAAGTAGGCAGTAAGTTACCGAACTTTATTGTTAATCCTATTGTTATTGTATAAAAAATGAAACAAATTTATTTAATTTTTTTTCTTTCTTTGCATATAGCCAACTGTTACAAGAGCCACAAGTTATTTTTGTTGGATATAAAATTATGCTTATTTGCTGAAATAATTATTATTTGTATAATGATTGTCATAACAGTATTAGAGATTTTCTAATGCTTTAGCTTTAAATCATTAAATCGACATTTTATATTATAAAAAAGAAGTCGAGCTTATTATTTTTAAGTGTATATTAATATCAAATTTCTTCTTTGGCCGAGTGTAATCTGTACATGATGATGATGTAAAGAAACCGTAGTCGATAAGTTCACTCACACAATATTGCATTTTGCTTTTTAAAATGCAATTTTTTATTTGCTAGTAAGCAAAATAGCTTGCTTTAAAAACCTAACTTTTTTTTGAGAAACTGTTTATTAAGATCGTTTTAGTTAGAGGTTCTGATCAAAATTAAATGTGACTTTGAATATTCATAATTATTGTCGCTTAATATACAAAATATTTATGACCATTCGAAATATTTATGACGATTGGGAATGTTTATTAATATGAATTTTCTTTTTACCACTATAAATTTTATTTGTTAAGTTGAAATCATTCTTAATGAATGACAACTTCTTTCTATTTACATGTTCCAACTCGGATATCCTATTACTATCCGTTTAAATTATATCATCATTTTGCATATTTAACTAATCATTTATTGGACAAAGAATTAAGTAAGATTCATAATAATAATACATTTTATAATGGATCTCTTTTAGTATTAATGAAATTTTATTTATCAGGCCAAATATTACCATCAATTCAAATAGTAATAGTAATTTAAAAAACGGTGACAATAGAATTGTTCAATATTAAAGAACATTTATCCAAATTTCCAAATGAATGCGAACAACAACGATAAAATTGTATAAACAAAGATGGTGTCAAATTCTTACAAACAATTAAAACGTCTCAACATTAAAAAATGCGTATCGATCATTAGAATTTTGATGATTAATACCGTGGATTCGTTGAAACAAGGTTTGACTGTATTAGTATTAGTATATTAATAATATATTAATATTACAATCCGAATCCGATCTCTATCTAATTCCTTCCTCTCCTAAACATTATAAGAAAGATTAGAGTAGTTTTACATGTTACTAGTAACTTTAAAATTGTAGTTTATCGCAAACCTTTCATTCCAAATGAATTTTTTAATGCCTCTGTTCCTATAATAGAGATTTCATTAAGGTGTTCGCTATACAAAGATAAATAATTAGCATTGTCATGGTATGGATTTACTTGGTGTATGCATACTTTATTGCGTGCGCATATTTCCTTCTTAATTTGCAATGTTGAAAACTAGTTACTTTAATAAACAAACAAACAAATATAAATTATTAATAATAAAATTGTTCATTGACAATTTATCCAATCTACACAATCTGGTTTAGCAGATAATTTGGGTAATTGGAAAAGTTTTTCCAAAAATCTGTTATTATTATCCAAGAAAGACAATTAGCTGAAAAATTAGAATTATATTGATACAGTCAAACTTTGTCACGGCAGACTAGACTATAATAATTAAATTCTTGTCATAACGGATTTTAAATAAAATTTTCTTATGTGTCCCGTTCATCCGCTATGACAAGGTTTTGTATTTTTTGTAAATTTAATAAAAAATTTTATATATTAAATAATGTCAATAGAACGAAAAAACTTCAAACTTATCCACATATATACATCAATGGCTTATTATTATATATATATTCCGACAAAATTAAAAAAAAAAATTTATTATATATATTAATTTTATTAATAGTTTGCAAACCATATAGAAGTTGTTTTTTATCTGAAAGTGCTTTTTGGGTTGGCTGAAAAATTTCCAATAAAATAACATAATATACATGTGTAAATAAAATTTCTGATCTTCAATTACAGTTCTTTATATAATGAACAAATTACGCGTAGAGATGAATGGTCGAGTGAATTGATGGCTTTTGGTGTGTGGTATTTTTATAGTGAAAAGTTGAAAATTTATTATTCTTTATTTTGATATATTGGTAGCCCATAATTTGTATACACATTAACCTCTGTTCTTATCTACTTGTAATTGATTTAGATAAGGAATGGCATCGATAAAGACCTGATTATGTCCATGAACTGACTACCTTTTTTCGAGGAGTGATTTCAAAAAATTATTATTCTTTATTTATATTATATGTTGAGCTAACATTATTTTTACCATTTAAATTTGCTTAATATATATGTAAATTTTCAATAATAATAAATGTTTGTTATTACATTTATACAGAATAACAAGGTTTATTATAATAATAAATTTTTATTTAATAAAAAAAAAATAGGGATAAGATTTTGTTCAGTATAACAAAATTCTGTTATAACGTGGAGGTCCGTTATTATTATAACAAGGTTTGACAGTATATATAAGGGGAAAACTCAAAAATCATTCTCGATTTTTTAGTGTTTCTGCATTCAATAATTGGTTTATTATTGTTGTATGCCCGACCATGAAACATTCCAAGGTTTCCATCTGGAAATTTTGGTAATGGAAATTTTAGCATGTACATAACTGATAAAATTAATTTGAAAAACATAAACCTGTTTTTGACTAGGGATGTCTACAGTGTGCCGAAAGCACTTTCGAATATTTACAAGTTTGAAACCTAAACCGAAAGTCAAACAATGAATACATTTGACTAAAAATCACTTATTTTATTTGAATTTTTTCTAATAATCTAAATCAGTTATATCACAAATCTTTACTAAATTTTATAATTAATCCTAGTTTTTTTTT